CAGTTACTCCTGCTTCTTTTCTTAGTTTCTTAGCTGCTCTCGCTACAAAACAGTTACATGAAAGGTATGATGAAATATTTAACACTGTAGACCTGGTTCTGTTAGATTCAAAGTGAATGTGGAGAGCACTGAAGGGAGAATATGCAAGTCACAGACGCAACACACTGTGTGCAAGGTTACATTCAGCTCTGCCTCATTTTGAAAGAATCGAGCAAACGCAGAGTGGGATGCACAGCAGGAATAGTTTTGACATGCTTTCTGCTGGTGACCTGGTTTTAGATGCAAATCAAGACATATCGTCTAAGCAATATATTTAGGCAATAATGAAAATTTGCATTTGAACATAGACAATCCATGATACACCAATGCATTTATATAGTGACATATGATATCATGAGAACCGCCGTGATTTGTGAGTTCCATCCCTACACATTGATTTATATTGCACTAAGAAGTTTCTGGGATTCTCACCAACGTCAAGACTTTCTAAACTAATAAAATTCTACTAAAGAGTGACCTTCAAATAAGATTCAAATATTTTGAACTCTCCTCTTGATTCTTTCCCCTAGGACCATTTCAGATTAATTGCTTTTTTTTAAAACCAGTTATAAACCCAGCTGTTTAAATATAAGGAATAAGCCTGTGTCTCCATAATGCCTTCCTTCTTGCCTGTTTATGTGGCAAGTCTCATTTGCAGCCATCGGTGAGCTGGTGCTGCTTGTTTCCTATCAGTGACACTGCCAACATCTGAGGCCTGTACTACACAGAAGATAGCTTCTGGGTTAACCCTGGCTTTTCTGTCATTTGAAGGTGGTTCACTTCTTACAGGGGACAAATCGCCATGGTAACTTGTGCTGTAAACCTAACCTGCCATGCAGTTTAAGATAAGATAATTAGCGATCAGATGGTATGAAATCACCACCTATTGACCAATTAATTCTCCAGAAGATAGCTTCACCATTCCTGGAAGATCCCTCTTGCTGCCAATGCCATCCCTTTCCCTTTCACGTGAGTGGAAACGAGTTAATAACAAGCTTTGTGTGACCATTTATACTAATTGCCAATGTTAGTGAAAGTGAATTCAGATAACAGTAAGATACTCTGGGTATGGTGAATGAGCCCTGAGGCCAGTGTGTCAGTGCTTTTAAGCCCTTATAACTCAGTTGCTGTGTGGCTCTCCTCCCTGAGACATCTTGGATTTCAGTTGTGCTATGGTTTGAGCTTTTCAATTAAACAATGTTGCATGCACCATTTTTTCACCCATGTACTTATTTGCGCTACTGATTGTGCTGACTAAACACTAGGTCACCAAACACCAGGCCATGTGACCTGGTCTCTGTGTTTTGTTGTTAGGACAAAAAAGCATTTGAATTTGAAGTTACTTAATCTGAAGTAATCAGTTTAGTTTAGTTCAATTCAATTCCATTTTAATTCTGTTCTGTTCACTTCAGCTCATTTCAATTTTATTCATATACTGCCAAATCAGAACAACAGTTGCCTCAAGGTGATTTGTATTTGCATACAATAATACAGGGAAACCTTAAAATCAAATTATCCACTTTGAGCAAGCACTTGGTGAGACCAGGAAGGAAAAACTCCTTTTTAACAGGAAGAAACTTCCAGCACCAGGCTCAGGGAGAGGCTGCCATCTGCTACAACTGGTTGTGGCTGAGGGATGCTTGTGGAAGGTGTGAATTATTAGTAGTAATTTCATGGATTTCTAGTGTGGTAACTTTTAATTTATGTGGAGTTTCCATCTGTAAGGACTTCAGTGTGGTGCATCTGTGTGTGTTGTTTTTCTCTCTCTTTCTTTTCTTTATGTGTTGTGTGTTGCCTGGAGACTGTTGTTGTGATTTGGTGCTATATAAATAAAACTGAATTGAATTGTTTAGAGCATTTGGCTCAAAGGCACCTCCAGAGCAATCAGGTGAGTAGTGAACTTGCAGTACACTGCTAACCTTCGTGAAAAATAGGGTTTATGAAATAGGTAAGTTGGGATAGGCAGGTAAGTAGAGGAGTGTTTCCACTTAGTTTAGGACACGTCTATTTGATGCAATAATTGACTTTGAGCAATGCTGTTTATTTGGTTTTTTTTAAAAAATTAGATTTAATGAGATTTGTTCACAACTTGATTCAAATGGTCTTGATAATAAGTGTTGAAAAGAGACCATAAACCTGAGATTAACTTGCAGTTGGTGGAAAAAGGTGTTTGTGGCTGAGCGAAAGGGAACTGCTCAGCCTTTCAAACTGCCGGCACTCTTTTATACTATCAAGATTCAAACGTGAAAATAAACTGATTGGTCCCGATTCGCACAGCTTCATTACCTTGCTTGAACTCAGTTTAAGAAAAATGTTTAGTTTTTTTTTAGGAAAATATACATGATCTCTAATTTACTGGGAGTCAGTTTCGTAGAGCTCAGTTGTTAAATCCCAAAATACCTTATCTTGCTGTGTGAATTTTCACAGGCAATTTTCAGTTTTGCTACAGTGACATCGGAGACTCTAATCACTAAAGTCAGTCTGCTCTAGAGACCTTGGCTTATTGTAAATTGTAGGTACTTTGCTGTCGGAGCTGTCTTTGTGTCTGATTGCTTTCTAATGAAAGCATATACTAGCAAACTCTGCAGAATTCATTTGATTGTCATAGAGGTTGGAAGTATGGTCATCACAGTCGAGATGTTAACTGGCCTTGAATGTGCTTCTTTGAGATTCCTATGTACTTCCTTCATGCTGTTCCTCACAGCATGACCTTCCCACCTTTCTCAAGTATCTCGATGGGCCAAACCTCCTGGGAAAGGCAATTTAGAACAGCATTAACCGCAGCTTGCCCTCTGACCCCACACTACCAATTTAAGCTTCTAACAACACAGCCTCATTGCTCATACTCTTTGCTGTTGGTCAACTGGAGTAAAGAAAACCATGCTGGGATACACAAACATACACAGAGACATATGCACACACACACACGATGGGGATTCTTCATCTGATGACCCCTTACAGAAAAAAGTATTATCAGAGGCTGTGCTGTGCATGCTAGAATTCTATGTTGACCTTGCAGCAAAGCTTTATAGTGAGACACACTGACAATCACCAGTGTCTGGCATGTTGCAGTGGGAGGGTCAATTTTTATTTTCAGTTAAGATGCATAATGCAGTGTGACTGGAAATAGCGTGTTTGTAATTCAGTTCAGGATTATTTATGCAGTGCCAAATCAAAACAACAGTTACCTCAAAGTTCTTTATATTGTGAGGTAAAGACACTACAACAAGACAGAAAAAACTCTTGACAATCAAACAACCCTGTTTTTTAGCAAGCACTTGGCAACAGTTGGAAGGAATAAATTCCCTTTTAACAAGAAGAGACCTTCAGCAGAGCCAGGTTCAGTGAGGGGCAGCCGTCCGCCATGACGCTGTTAATGCATTTTTATATGCATGACCTTCAGGGCCTTCTTTGATAAATATTCCCAGTATATTTGTGTTCAGATATTGAAAACGGTTTTCATTTCAGAGCCATAAGCTACAACACTAACATTTCAAAATTACTATGTCAAAAAGACAATATTTTGACATATTTGACAATAGGAAAGGAAGTCAAAGGAATCATGAAATGAAGCTCATATTAAATAATGGTAAGAACGAGACCTTTTATGTAACTTATCAATCAAAGAGAATGTTTTATTTCTATGTCATCAAATTAGCTTTGTTATTGGAAATTTTACATATCCCAATAGATTGATGTTCAAAGTTGGTTACAGGAAAAAACAGATCTTAAAAGAAAATCGCTTTGACATCACTATATCCATGAAGAAAATTGCGGGATTCATGTAAACATGTAAAGTCTGCAGAAATCTTCCAAGCAAAGCAAGTAAAAGGACCACTGGTCCACCAGAGGATACCATCTTATTGTTGTGTTTTGCCATTCCTAGGTGTGAAAAACTATGCCTTAAAAATTATGTGATTTATGCCTCTGCCACTTTCTAATGCACAAAAGACCATCTTATATGGATGAATGTTGCTATTTTATGTTATAGTGGAAACATAATGTTTCCACAGTGTGGCAGTGGCATGCTTAAATGAGGTGAAAACATCCCACTGAGCAACTAGCTGATGGAAGAGGTGAGCTCCTAGCAAAATCTATGGGAGTGATATCAACTGATAATGGTTATTTAATGGACTGATACGATTTCTAGTGAGTTTTCTAGGTCTGACACTAGTCTGACTAGGTGTGATGGGAACAGAGAGGAGAGAGGCATATTTAACTTTACAGAGCACAAGACTGCACGTTTTTGTTCCAAATGCTTCACCTATTCAGAACATACCGAGACACAAAAGACAAAAATGGAGAAATATTAAGATATTCTGACTGAAATAATTCTCTTTTCTAGAATGAACAGGTATATACACAGACACACAGGCAAGTGCATCAACATAAAAAGATGGGGAACACAATAGTTTCTGCCTTTCCTCTTATTACAGATGATTTCTGCATTTGGAAATTGTTGTATGACGCGTAATAAACTTTAATCATTGCACCAGCGATCATGGCCTGCCAGAAAACAAGTGTGAAACCTCATTCAGTGCAAAATGCCTTCCACAGAGGGTCGAGCAGAACAATAACTGTGTTTATGCACACCCTTTATGATGCAGAAATTAGTGTGT